GTACTGCTTTGCTGATGACGCTGATTAATGGAGATCATCTGCATAGATGGGTTCACCAACACATTCGCGAACTCGTGGGACACCGCACGCAGTCCTGACGGTGCATCGTGTGATAACCACGCAGACGAACATTTTACTTTTCTGTGCTGGAATGTAAATGGTTTGAAAAGTAAAATCCTAGATTCAGATTTCATTTACTATCTCAGGAAATTCAATATTATATGCTTAGTAGAGACATTTGCTGAGAATTTAAATATGAACTGGTTAGATGGATACGACGTATTCTATTGTCCTGATGTTAAACTGTCCAAGTTTGGTCGTCTATCCGGTGGAGTATGTCTGTGCATTCATGAATTCATCAAGAAACTATGTATGTTGTCAAAATTACATATTGATAACGCTCTTTGTGTAAATTTGTCAAAAGAAATATTTTCCATCGACAAAGATATAAAACTCATATGTACCTTTATACCTCCTATGGGTTCACCATATTATGATAATTGTGACTCAAGTTGCAGCATTGATCAACTTGAACAACTCCTAGTTGATAACTTAACAGAGTTCAGCAACTTTCATCTGATGTTATGTGGAGATATGAACGCTAGAACTGGTCAACTCAGTAATCCTATTGTGTGTCCGAGTGAGGACTTTCACAACTTTGGTTTATACTGTGACGATGAAGACACCCCAGTCGAGAATCGTAAATCTCATGATAGTACGGTAAATAGATTTGCTTGCATATTGCTAGATATGTGTTATGCTTTCCATTTATTCATAGTTAACGGTAGAGTGAGTGAGTGAGTTATTATTTAACGTCACATCGGCAATATTTCAGCCATATCGTGACGAGAACATTTTACATTGTTAACGGTAGAGTGAACGGGGACATAAATGGTGAGTTTACATACTGTAGTGAGAAAGGTTGTAGTGTAAATGACTACTTTATTTGTTCCCCGGAATTATTCCAATATTTTCAACACTTTAATATCGGTGAACACTCTGATTCAGATCATTTTCCACTCGAGTTATCCTGTAGCTTCCCCAAAATGACCCCTACATCAAATGTGTCCTATAACAACCCAACCATTACTGATAAGATATTTTGGAATGACTCATTCTGTACTACATTTCTGAATGCTCTACGTCAGGAATTGGGCCATTCTGGTGAAAAACTGCTGATTAAACTTGAGGTTGATATTGATGGTGCTGTCAATGATCTCGTTAATACGATATTGAAATCGGCCGAATGTATGAAAAAGGAGTGCAAAGACAGTTCTAAATATAGACCGTTCAGCAGAGAATGTAAATTGGCGAAGAGAAATGTACGTAGAGCTTTAAGAAAGTTTCGATGTCAACGCACTGATAGTAACAGACGGACATACTGTAAAGAGCGAAATAGGTACAAGACATGTTACAGAAACTTTAAACATGAACTCAAATGTAATAAACTAAACAGGCTCAGTAATTCTATGCATTGTCAGTCTAAATTCTGGAAAGAAATTCGACATATCAGAACTAAATGCTCTCAACAAAATTCAATTTCCAAAACCGAGTGGCTCATTCATTTCAGGAATGTTTTCAGATAAAAATAATTCAGTGCTCGATCAGTTTGACCATGGTCAAGACATTTTAGAAATTTCGCATGATTTTAATGGGGACTATGATGAAGTAGATGAACTTGTACTAGACTCGCCTATATCGGATGATGAAATCACAAATGCAATTTCACAATTGAAATGTGGAAAAGCAACTGGTCCCGATAGTATCATTATTGAAATGCTTAAATGTTCTATTACCGAAATTCTTCCATTTCTCAACAAATGCTTCAATAGTTTATTCACAAAAGGAGTATTTCCTCGCAGTTGGTCAATTTCTATTATGGTCCCAATTCACAAGAAAGGTGACTTTAATAATCCCGATAATTATCGGGGAATATCTCTTATGAGTATTCTCGGCAAAGTCTTCACTTCTATACTAAATACCCGACTCTCTAAATGGGCAAACGTGAGACATAAGATTCCTGAGAATCAAGCTGGTTTTCGGAAGCAATACTCCACAACTGATCATATTTTTACTTTGTATGCACTGATTCAGAAATGTTTATCCCGTCGAAAACACAAACTGTATGTAGCTTTTGTCGATTTTAAGAAAGCATTCGATTCTGTAGAGAGACACAAATTATGGTATTGCTTACGTAGTGCCGGTTTAAGCAGGAAAATGTATACCATGTTAAAAGCAATGTATTCAAATGTAAAATCTTGTGTACGATGTGGTTCTTGTGTAACAGATTATTTTGACTGCCCAATGGGACTACGACAAGGATGCATTGTGAGTCCGATTATGTTCTCATTCTTCATAAACGAATTTTATTATGAGGTTATGCAAAAGGGTAAACATGGTGAACGGATGTTCCTAGATATGATAGAACTGTTTATGCTCCTATTTGCAGATAATGTCATTTTGATATCTGAAACTATTATTGGTTTGCAAAATCAGCTAAATATTCTTGAAAGTTATTCTGAAAACTGGAAACTATCCGTAAATTTAGACAAAACTAAAATAGTCATATTCAGAAGGGGTGGCGCTGTTGCATCTAAGGAGAAATGGTTTCTTCACGGAAAATCTGTTGCTATTGTTAATCAATACAAATATCTGGGGATATTTTTTTTCAAATACGATGAGTTTAAAAAGTTGTGTCTATGACTTGTTCCTACGTGCAAAGAAAGCAATGATCTCAATTTTATCTATCTCACATGAATGTGGAATTTTAACTCCAAATATATTTTTCAAACTGTTTGATGCCCAGATACAATCCATTTTATTTATGGATCGGAAGTGTGAGGATTTCAACGCTGCGATTACTTGAAGAGATTACATCTTATGGCTTGCAAGAAGTTTTTATGTGTTGGATCCGCTACTCCAAATTGTATGGTTTACGATGAATGCGGGAGATATCCTATGTATATTAATTCGCAAATACGATGCCTTAAATATTGGTTTAAGATTCTGTTAATGCATAAAAGTCGTCTACCAAACATATCTTATAATATGATGGTTCATCTAGATAGTATGGGTAAAATATCTTGGGCATCACATATAAGAAATCTTTTGTTTTCTCATGGATATGGGTTAATATGGATAAGCCAGGGCGTGGGTGATGTCTCTATGTTTTTAAAAGAATTTCGTGATGGAGCGGTAAACATGTTTCATCAGGAATGGCATTTCACTCTAGAAAGCAGCTCTCGTTACGAATTATATAGAGCATTTAAAAACCTATTACAACCTGAACTGTATTTATCTAAACTTACTTTTAAGTGTAACAGAAATATATTTGTCAAATATAGGACAGGTTTGAGGCAGAAAACTGTCCATCCCAAAATCTGAAAGATCTTGTCCTTTATGTAATTCTTCAGTAGAAGATGAACTACATTTTACCGTTGACTGTCCATTTTATGAAGATTTACGTTACATGTATATGCCAGAACGTTATCTGTCGGAACCACCACTGACAGCTTTTACCAGTTTATTAACAACTAATAATGAATCCACCCTACGCAATCTAGCTCTCTATGTTAAATATGCATTTATTCGTCGTAACGAGCACTTACAGTTAACCATGTCCTAATGTATGTAACTCGCTTGTATAAGGGCCGGTGACCTAAAATACAATAAACGATTGTCTTGTCTGTCTGTCTCATTCGCGAACTCTTTATCTCTCTGGAGGTAGAGATAAAGTAGACTGACTGCTGGTTGACTGGTTTGCGAACCCTTTCGCGAACTGTGGAGAGACATTGTTAGAATAAGTAGACTGAGGTGAAGCTTGTTGATTGTTGACAGATGGGTTCGCGGACTCCGATGGCATGGAAGAAGGTCTGCGTTGAGACGACTGCTTTTTCTCCCGACGCTGGGACTGCTGACGGTTGTTTCTGTAAACCAGGGTTTGCGAACCCTGAAGAGCCGGTTGTCTTCGTTTTCTATGAAGTATTTACGATAATCGGTGGTTCGAGAACTGGCGGTGATGCGTCTGCTTCATCCAATGCCATCAAGGCATTCTCGAACGATGTAGCTTCAACTCAAAATTTCGTTGGTCTAGTAATCAAGATGATGATGAGAACGAGATGATGATGTAGATTGCGACGTTGACGATTTGTTAGACGACGCAGATGATCTCTTCTTCTTAACCAGCTTCTGTAGTTCAGAGGCTGTGTAGCTGTCTCTCTAAGAGCGACAGAGACGGGAGAGACCCTGGAGGGAATCTTCAAAGAATTCTCCAACAACTCAAACTCAGATACTTGAGAGACACCCTTATCAGCAGCTATCCTGCTACCCTTCGTTTATCCATGTCCTTGCGTAAACGTGGAAACAGAAAATTATTAAATTGAAATTGTGATAAAAGTGCACAATATTTACAACATGGGACTAAGGAACGTGAATTATTGACGCAGGAAGAACACACAGGGTGTGGATCAGCCGCTGATATACCTAGCCCGCATAGTTTACATGCTACCATCTGAAATGGAGAGAGAAAATTGCGAAAATTAATTGAAATTTGTGCAATTAAATACACCGTTGTGATTATATATCGGATATTAATACAATTCACGGCCTTAATTTTGATTGATAGGGCGAAATAAGAACGATATTAGCCGAAAAAAAGGACCCATAGTGACCGCCCAACCGTCTCCTTGGGCAATAATGGAGAGAGTGAGGTGAACAAGGCTAGGGTCACGTGGGAGGCATTTGGCCGGAAAGCGGGGCTCTTCTTGGATGAGTGAGATTTTGACTGTTCTTGGGAACAAAGGGATTCAAGTTTCCACGTAACCGTCGGAAGTAGAAGGGAGAAAAGAAATAAGCTTGAGTCAGGATAAGGAAAAATTTACAAGTTATTCAACCTTTATTCCTAGTTTTTATGCTTAGTTGTAGAAACTAACCTACATCAGAAACAGGTTGATAATGGAAGGGCACAATGGACTGAATACATTGCTTAAATGTCAACTCACCACTGGATGTGGAAAATGTGTTACTTGTCCCCACTTGCAGTGCGTCTATGTTGTCAGCACCGGGTTTGACTTCAATACGGTTGTTATTGCCAACCTGTGCCGCTGATGTAAGGTCATCTGGTAATGACATTAAAAGTTTCTCAACCCTTATTCCTTCTAGTCAAAGAATAACCATATACAGAAGCGACATCAGCAGTATCCTTCAAAATTGTAATTTGTTTTGGATTTGAAAATGTCACAGTCAGACATTCTGCAAAGTCAATTTCAGATTAAGTCACATAAATATAAATAAAAACCAACTTAATCTGATTTTATTTCATCTCCTTCATGTCGTGGCGCTTAAAAGGCACACATACTATTGAAAAAGACAAAGAAGAATATCATAATGAAATACATATCTTTTAGTACTGTGCTGTGTTCCTCAAGAACAGAAAACCTCTCATGCAAACACAGGCATACCCAACGCTTGCACATCGGAACAATGTGATGAAACCGGTTGACTAGTCCCTCTAGGTGCATAACGTTGTTTACACCCTTGAAATTCATTGTGCTTGAGATTCATGCATCAAGAAGTCTGCTATTTGTGGAGGTGGAGCTTTCACTACTGTGCAACCTTCAGATTTTGCGAACTGGTCAAAACTCTTCCATAGATATTCTACTGGACTATCCACCATATAATTTGTTTCCTAAGATGTGGTAGGCGAAGCTTGGGATCCCTAGAAACTTGAAATAGTCTCGTAATTGTAGTCTAATTCGAGCTGAGATGAGGAGTCATAACATTGCTGGTTGAGTGGAATCTGTTTGTGGAGAGCTTTTGGAAGATAGCTTTATATCATTCTCCATCGATGTTAGAAATATGTTCCCTAAGAACTTAAAATCTTGAGAGGCCAAAAGATCTTACTTCTGTTAATTTACTGAGCTTAATTCCATCGTCAAGATAAAAGATGCAACGGATATCCTTTTTGTAAAGACGAGCCATGGTTGATTGGCCACCCACTGAAACAACGAATTGGCTGTAGAAATACCAAAGAGAAGCACCTTCCAGTGGTATGCTAGCTACGCGTTCGGTTTTAAATCAGATTTAGAGCTATTTTAATTTCGTTATAAACCTCTGATTTTCCAACACAGTATGTTTATCTCCGAAATGACTTTAAAATATTTCTCAAACTGAACATTCGTGTATCCTTGCTGTCATACCCTTGTGGAATTTTAAATGAATTCGCGGAAAAAAATATGAATGACCAAACAAAAGTGAGACTAAAACATCCCCAGAGATGTGAAATATAAGCCCTATGTTAAAGTTGATAGGTTACATACAGATCTAATATTACTGATTTGAAACTCGTAGCGATTTATAATTCCATATCCTAACATTGTTGGAAGCGCACATACAATCTCCAAAACAAGAGCGCAGGATTGTCAGAAAATACACTCAGTTGGACCCATGAAAGCCGTTATGTCAAGAAACTCACGTGAGTGTATTTCAATCTCTCACCATCAACCGCATTATCCTTACTAAAATCTACACGAGACAACACAGTTCTGTTAGCTACGTTCTTTGTACTTTCAATATGGTGATATATATATTTCATGATTAACAAACACATAATGCCATAATCGATTTAAGTACTGGGGATTATGTTTATCAAAGCACCAAACTCATTACGCGCGTTCTGATTGGTTTGTCGTATTTTCGCACATAAGCATCGATAGGGGGGACGAGTCTTCTTGGAGGTTACGGAAAGGTGCAAATGGTGACGAATGTGCCCGTTCGCTCGCAAGGTGAGGTGTTTTTTCTGTTCTTGATGAACACAGTGCAGGAAGATGATTTCGGGAGAATGAAGAGATAAGTAGTTAGTGTAGACATTTACAAGAACCTACCCTCAAGAGCCACATAGCCATTGGTACTTTTGGGAATCTGCGTATGATGAACAAAGTTTTCTCTCATGGCTTCAGGAAGCTTATACTTCACTTCCAGATGGGTTTCCTTATTGTCCAAAACACTGATTAATTGAACATCCTTTCCAGCTTCTACAAGATCTGTAATTAACAACAATATCATGAGCCAGGGTGAAAGATGAAATTATAAAATGTATGCTTAGGTGTTCACGTTCAAACAATTCTCACCCGTGAAGATCCGGGTCTGAATTGGTCTTCAGGAACCCATGCTTGTCGTGAATGGCGACTGACGGAATCGGCTGGTCACGCTCCTTGATTTGGTTGACACATGTCATCGTATTACCATTGTATAGATTGATGCTCATACTATTGATCACTGGATTGTTTGGTCCAGACTTGATTATTAACAGAACATATAGCTGGAATACTGCGCTGAGGGTAGCGTTAAACAATAAGCGAACCAGTCAAACAGTTCTCCAAACAGTACACGTTTGAGATAAAGTACATGCATACAGTACTTAATTCAATATTTTGCAACTTTAAATTAGTTTCAAGATGCAGCCTTCAATCCAGCTTTATGTATCTATATTTGATGATACAGTGAAGAACCTGATACTTAAACCTTCAAACGTTCCTACAAGCTGAACCCTTGTGACTGGAGACTCGAGGATTTGAAAGGCTCTTTAAAGTGGGAGTGGTAATGCGAATCAGCTCAGTAACAGTTACTCTACAATTCGGTGACTGAACAATGTTCAGGAAACGGTCCGAGGACTTTCAGTCATTTTAAAAGAAATACTGGTTGATAGATAAGACTTGAAGCAAGGCATTGGGTTACAAGTCACCTCTGCGAAAAGCAAGTATATCATTTCCGTGGGCATTTCGCTATGCTTCCGAATTTCTGAAAGGATTCGCCAAATCAAAATAAATATTCGGAGACAAAACACAAGACTTTAGGGAAGCCTTCAACATTTCATGCCGCACCATTTCTGCTAGCTCCAGCCATTCTTGTCATTCCAGGTATACTTTCTTTCATAGAGCACCCGTCATACAACTCAAAAGATGTTACCACAAATACAAATGCGAAGTTGTCACAATATTTATATATTAAAGATTCATCTAGTGTTGGCAAAATATAAACTGGACGCAATAAAGGAAACCATGTTTGCATGATATTAGCTACAGAAATCGTCTTTCTGGAAATAACGTAACAAGCATTCAAATCCAAGTATAACATAACAATAAGACACATATCCACTACAACATTTTCGTCTGAATACCAAATCATAACCTACATATGTTTACATGACTTCAAGGGTGAGCCTATTGCGTAGGTGGGATGGCACAGCTCAGGAATTAGTAATATTCCTGGAGGTTTAGAGTTCGAAAGAAAGGTTTGTCACCTTTAAGAGTACTTTTGCAGATCCTGTATTCATCTTCCAACAGTTTAGAAAACTGTTCCTCAATCAGGACAATCATACGTGAACAGTCTGTATTGATGGCCTCTTTGAATGTCTCGGCATCTGCAGAAAATATAAGGACACATTCTCAATTCTATTGATCCCAGAAAAATCAGGTTAGAGTTGATCTTTCGTTACTTAAGCTTGTAATAGACGACTAACTGGATCGGGAGATCAGGATCGCTGATTTTGATAAGGCATGTCATCGTATCCCAGTTTCGTAGATCGATGCTGAGGATGTCAGACTCTGAATTGTGTGGTACAGATAATTCACACACCGCCGACTTTCAGCCGGAAGACTGTATAATGCAGCGCGGAGCAACAAACCAAATGTTATGTGACCACATTCCATTGCTTTAAAATATACGTATAGTTAATTATCTAGTAGAAAAATATACACGCATGAACCAAATAAAGGTTCATCCTAAACGAAACAACAAATACAAACTATAAACATGACATGTCCGGATAGTCCATATGCGATCATAATGACTTGATTATTGTTAAGCATTTGTTCAACAAAAGTGTACTTACTGTCATACTGGAGTCGCTGTATACTTCTACCGTTGTTTCTGAATGATGCTTCCACTTCGTCGGCGTGTTTACTTGCACCAACCATGTAGATGACAACTGGCATGAAGCAGACCATGTAAGTTTCATTGGAGAATTGTTCCATAGTACATGTTTAATGTTTATATTCTCACAACTAAACTATTGAGGTCAGTGGAGAATAAGTCACAATTTGTAACTATCTTTCATAACCATGACGATCACTACACTGGCTTCAAAGGTGGAGGTTGTTCGAAGCCTCTGGGTCTAAATTTTCTGGTTCCGTGACATGATTTCTGACACTTCAAAATAAGTTGTCTCCATTGGAATTACAACTGGGTTCATGGATTTTCCAATGGGCGATTGCACCTATTCTATAATTGCACTTCAATATTATATGTATTGCATACGTGATAATGTGCTTACCTATAAATCAGAAAATTAACTTTGGGAATAGACACAGAATTGGATGTATCATGAATGGCACTGTTACAGAACTTTTCAAGTGTTTCTGGAACACTGTAATCTATAAGTTGTTTGTTTACTAGTTGTGCTTTCAAAACATCTTTGGTATGATATTAGGAATGGCCATGAGACAATGTTGTGCCACTAAATATCTATTATCCTTTCAATAATTATAAGAACTTCTATAATACCTGTCCTCTCTTCACTTGGGACACCTTGATCTTCTGTGGTCGAGGCCTGAAATAATGGAAAATCATACCAACTGGTAAATTGAGACACATTTAGAAAAAAAGTAGATCTAGGCAGTGATTGTTTAATTGTGACTTTCACTGTTTTAAACAAGACTGGCTTCCTCGTTGATTTATTTTTGTCCTGTATTTAATGTTGTAAAATGTAAGAAACATAATATATCTCTGATTGTGTCAATTTAGCAACTGAATTCAATAATTTCAGTAATACTTGTAGTGGGTGAATACCCTGTTATAGTATATAACTATGGATGGCGTACGGTTTGGTGTGGTTTAATTCACTGCACATTGCTGTATTCCAAACTCTTACGAAAGGAATAATTCCTCATAATGATGGAACTCACGATCGATTCTCCCTCTGTCAACAGGCCTCCAATCGCACCTTCCATTTGAGGACGAAACTGTCTTGCTTTAACCATCAATGATCCATGGTGTGTACCGTGACAAGCCCAGGTTGCATGTGCTTAGTCACGAGTCACTGGATGTAAAAGACATCACTAAAGTACTGTCGGAAATAGAAAAAAAACTGTTTTTAGGCTGTCACTCTGTATCCCTAAAATTTACACAGTTGCAAATAGTATTCGTCGACAACCCACATCGGCCTAACTGGGCGTTCAGTGGGATGCGTAATAGGATATCCAGAAAAGCATGTTTACTCGTAAAATCGGGCAAAAAGAATACGAATGGCTGCTGAAAACAATAGATCAGACTATAGATGGCAAGTAGGTCGCTGAGCCAGGTTTGACGACGAACCGTCGACGCACCTGGCATAAAATGCATGTGCTGAGATGACAAGGGGTCATCTCAAAGATATTTTATGCTTTTTTAATTTATGTGTGTTGAATATGTTTCATCTATTAATTAACATCTTACGTGTCTTTCTTTCATAAAGTTTATGTTGTAATAAGATACCCATAGACAAGTTTATATCAGCCATCGTATGAAATGTCTCAAAATATATAGATGGCATCACCAACAAAGGATCGACAGGATTGGAAATTATTTGTAAATTGTTATGACATGCCGTTTTTTCCCCAGTTTAATTCGCCTAAAGGATTATTTTATCTCAGCTGATATCTCTATTTCCCCCAGCCCGACCTCAACCACCGTCTGCGACACCTGTCCTGGTTTTGCTTTTGAGACGACACCTACCTGTTTCCTGTTATAGTGATAGTGAGACTCCATGGCAGCTACATCCTTAATAGTTTCAGTGTTAAAGTTATTATTTTTTATGTCAGCTATCGTTTATAATGAAGCTAAGGTTAATTACCAAATGGGCATTTAAAAAGAGTCCTTTGTAATACAATATCATCGCACATAAATCTGCATAAAGCCATGACTGAGAAAAAATCACATTGCTCATTTCTGCACTAATCTGTCCTCAGTAAAGTCCCTTTTCTACGTTTCCTATCTCCCTACCACTGAGACTGTAGTCAGGCCGAACTTAGTTTAACAGATATTTCACTTTCATATATTAACTACATAAATTGAAATATATAAATGCGAAAAATAAAAACAAACGCCCCCACCCCCACCCCAAAAAAATAAAAATAAATAAATAAATAAATAAATAAATAAATAGATAAATAAATAAATAAATAAATAAATAAATATAAAATAAATAAATAAATAAAAATAAATAAATAAATAAAAAATAGATAAAATAAAACAACAACAACAAACAAACAAATAAAAACATCAACAAAAACAAAAACAAAACAAAACAAACAAAAACAACAGCAATATAATGTACGAGTGCTTCTGTGATAAAAAAAGTACCATTGGAATCAAACAGGAATGGAGTTATCGTTCTTGTTTAATGTAGTTCTGATGTTCATGCGCAAATATGAAATCCTTTCAGAGTAGCACGAGTCGCTATTCCGCTTGTCCCGGAATAACACGAGTTGGATACGAATGCACTCACCTCTATCCGTAAAATACCGCCATTCTGCTTGACCCGAATAACACGAGATGGTCCATTCGTGACCAACTCGTGTTATTTCCGGGACAAATCAAGTAGCGACTCGTGCCCCTAGCTTCTCTTTCTTTATTGGCATTACCAATCAGCGCCAATTAAATTAATTACTGGCTTCCATTGTTAAGTGGCCACCATTGGTGCCGATTTCGTTTTGATGTGATGAATGTTCTATAAAAGGAATAAACACTACATTCTTACAATCTGCATGCCGTAGGGACCGCTCATAATTTATGGCGGGAGTGTGATGATAATGATGATGATGAGTTTATTTGGAGAAACGGACATAATGTCAATGACCCCCCTAAATTTATGTGCAAGTTATGACACCCCCCTCAGGGATTAGGAAAGGCAGGGGCCATGGACCATTTTGCTCATTACAACAAGAAGACAAAGTCATCAATATCCCCCGCAATGGCAAAATACTCTTCATGATTATGTCTACGAGTTATGATTATGTCAAATATTTATGTGTGTATATAGAAAAATGGAAGGAGAGTATTAAAAGGTTTTAGAGTTCTGCTCCAGAAAGGAGCACTATCACCAATTTCAGTCTATGTTAAACTTGTTGCCATGGAAATGCGAAAAATATTTTGTCGGAAATCCAAAACTACCAAAAGGGACATGTACACCACCAGATCTATGTATGTGCCACGTTTGGTGAAGAAACATTGAACGGTTTTAGAGTTCTCCTCCGGAAAAGTGCACTACCACCAATTTCTGTTTTAGTCAAACTTGTTGCCATGGATACGCCAAAAATAAGCTATTCAGAACTCCAAAACTACCAAAAAGGAACCAGTACACCACCAGACCAATCTATGTGCCAAGTTTGGTGAAGAAATAGTGAACGGTTTTAGAGTTCAGCTACGGAAAAGAGCACTACCACCAATTTCAGGCCAAGTCAAACTTGTTGCCACGGAAAAGTCAAAAATATTTTTTTCAGAATTCCAAAACTACCAAAAGGCACCAGTACACCACCAGATCAATCTATGTGCCACGTTTGGTGAAGAAACATTGACCGGTTTTAGAGTTCAGCTCGGGGAAAGTGTACTACCACCAATTTCAGGCTAAGTCAAAACATGTTGCCACGGAAACGCCAAAAATATTTTATTGAGAATTCCAAAACTACAGAAAGGCACCAGTACACCACCAGATCTATCTATGTGCAAAGTTTGGTGAAGAAATAGTGAACAGTTTTAGAGTTCTGCTCCGGAAAAGACAAATGTGCACGGAAGGACGGACGGACGGACGCACGGACGGAGTCCATTTTAATACCCTCCGCAAAACGCGTTGCGGGGGATAATAAAAAATGTCCCATTAAAGCTTTAAGTTTACTATTGATACAAGGGCAGTGGCCCATTCCAAATTCAGAAAATAGCTAATAATCCTGAAAATGGCCCATTGCCACAGTTCTCTATCCCTATAAAATGAATGAGCCCATGTGTACAAAATTGATTACCGCCCTACCTCCACAGATAGCTCACTGCTTCGTAGTTTTTCTTTCACACGATGATTGACAGTAAGAAGAAGAAACTCCAAAACGTCGTATTCCTCATAATAAAAAGTTGATATCCATAAATTTCAACCTTTTATTAGTTAATTTATTTAATAATCTCACCTTAGCGGTAATCACGTTACCACTGTTCACACTAGAAGAATGTCATACCTACAGCCACACAATATGGCTACCAGGAAGATGTGGAAATACCCATAATATCCTGAAATACTACTGGCAGTATATCACGTAATGCACTGAACTGCCTGACAAGCTGTGTCTGCCGGTGGATGATATGACACGCACATTGACAAAATGTGTCGGGCGAGTGGTTTAAACATATTTATTTCCAAAAGTGGAACCGGATTGGTAAACAAGCAGTATGTTGCTTATCTGAATACCACGCCGAGGTTCAAACAAAGTATAAACAAAACAATGATGAGGAGAAAAACATGTAATTAACAAAAAACATTTAGCTTTCTGCTTATAACATTAGAACTCTTAGTATCGGAAAGTACTAGTTGGTATAGTTAGTGCAACAGAAATCTGCCTGACAATATAATGAAAGAATGGATAGATACTAATATTTCAAGATTATCTTTAGTAGATCCTTTAGAGCGGAAGCATAGTAATGAATTAATGTCATATCCTGTAGCATAAGGCACCTTTTATTTCTTATAACAGTGTAATTAACGCATGAAAAGAAATAGTGACTTGGATTTTCATAACAACAACCACAAGCACCAGAAGGAATTGAAGATATAAATCGTTCATATTTATGCGTGTTTAGATCGCTGCAACCAAGCCCGAGGCGTGAATGGATAATCTGAAAAATCTTGATCCAGAATTTAAATTAAAGTAGTTGTGACTATCATCATTTGACACATTAATTTGTATATTAAAACTAACCAGGGCAGTCGATTCTCTGAGATTCGTAGCTAAAATCCACAACTTTACTGTATCTGGGAGAAATGACTTGGCATAATTTCCTAAGGAGGGGCGAGATTACTCAAATATTTTGGAGTTGAATTGTTATTCATTTTATTAAAAATTGTTAGTTTTTTTATTATGTATCTTCGTGTGCATAGTTGTTGGAAATTGGTCTCATCATAAATTCTGTTTTGGGTGGTACCGCGAACAGCACCGTGAATAGTTCTAAGTGCATCGAGATGAAGTTTTCCAAGTGTTTGCTGTTTGATACAAGTGAGTTTTGTTTTGTTTTACACCGCTCTCAGCAATATTCCAGCTATATGGCGCTGTTTGGTACAATTGTACCAAATGTGACAACAATAATCGAGAATAGGCAAAATAAACTGTTGGTACATTTTTGTATGGTTTTACGTGAGAGGCGATATTTAAAACCTCAAAAGCCGTGTTTACCGTGGGTGCAGCATTTTTAGCGACACAATTAACATGGTCAGTCCAGGAACAATTATTCTGTCAAGTTGGGACCAATGTTTTATAACTATTAACGTCAGTAATAATATTATCCTTCATTATTAAATTTTGTTTTGGGTTGGGCTGTATTTTATTAGAAAACTGGGTAGAATCTGTTTTATTGTGATTAAATGTAACTTGCATTTGTCAGCCCAATCAGAAATTTTGCGTAGATCATTATTAAAACACAGGACAGTTTCAGCAGGATCGTTTATTATGGCATTAAGTGATGTGTCAACTGCGAACAGGGCGAGTAGTTTAAAAGGCTGAGGAGCTTTATATCCCGCAAACTGGGATTACCTAAATGCTGGGCCATGACGGGCCAGCTATGTTACTAGCTAATTACTACATTATCGACAATGATAGTTGTGAATATCATCATGCCCACAATGTATTCATGCAATATACACCCACCACCTCAGAAGGAGTGTGTAAAGGGGTCGAGTTTGAGTTACATGCTTGACTTCAATACCTTCCTCGGTGTAGGCTGCCCGAATAACACGCGATCCATTGTAAAGCCAGTGCGCAGTAGAGCTGGTCGGGAAGAGAGACATGTCTACAAATGTGACGTAATCGGATATGCTAATTAAATATACAG